CCCCCCCCCCCCCCCCGCCCCGGGTAGGCACATGGCTTGGCAGTGTTGCTGGGCTGGATTCCAGCATCCTCTTGTCACCTCAAGTTGGCAGCTTCATGCACGGCATATTCTGAACAACTGGACATGGGGATACTATGTACATAGATCTTTCTTTTTTAGTGTTTTGCTAATCCCAAGACAAGAATAATATAACTGGAACATTCATCTCTACTCATTGCAGAGTAGTACTGTGGCAGATTGAGAATGTAAGATTTTCTATCGGCAAATAACAAATGCACCCGGCATAAATTCAGGTGAGCATAAAATGATACTCGAGGCAGATTCCTTGTAATGAAGTCATCAAAGAACAACCAATAAAAGTCACTCTCCTTGTTTATACTAACAGGAGAGTGAACACTTACCACCATCTTCAACTGTAAAATGGAACATATCACTTGTGGCATTGGCCCCATCTTTTAAAACGTAGCATATTTTCATGTCTTCGATGTCAGCTAGAAAATAACCAAAGAACAAGATGATTCATTACTAGGGCAAGATTGGTGACTCATTACTCATGGTAAATCCTACCGGCTATTACTTTTCTGTAACCATATTTAGATTTCCTTCTCCTAAGGGAGGCAGTGCTATCTTATTTCTCCTATCTCTAAGCCCCTTGATTTCAGCTGTCCCATGGAAATCTGATCCCTTATCCAGATAGAGTTCAAGAGTTAGGTTATAATAATAGCAAGGTGTTGCCCCACCCAATGGTATTTGCATGTTCATGCACCAAAGAAGTGACTCTCTAAATACGGAATGTCAGACTTCATGACAGGTGGAAAGGAAGATATTTTGAGGCATGGCAGATTTCCTGGCACTCCTGAAATCACACTCTTTCCCTCCCTGTAGCGCTGGCCCTAAGAGGAAAGAACTTCCCTGCCCCCCTCTGGCTAACTTTTCTTACCTCTGGCGGTATACAACACGCTGTTTTTAAGTTCCCCAGAGCTTGAAAGAAAAAGAATCAAGGCCGTTTTAAATCTCCAAGATTGAAATAAGTGTCATGACCCCAGAGAGAAATGAGAAGAGAAAGCATCTAATGAGAGCTGAAACTTTTATTCAGAGTGAAAAGTTACTCTGCCTCAGGAATGCTCTGTAGGTTGCTTCCTGTCCCAGCTTTCAAATTCACTGGCATACTTTGTTTTCCGTATTGACTAAGGTACAATTTCAATAATTGATTTCCCCATTTTACGAGTTACTCTCCTTCATGATGCCACACAGACAACATAATGAACCAAATATCATCCTGTTCTGTGATGCTTGCCACACTATTGTTATTTGATCTGGGTCGGGCAGTAAGTAGTTATTGCCAAAGCTACAGAAAATCAAGATCGCAGCTAAAAGTGGCTTCAACAATGAATGGTATGTAATATTTATTTGTCTCGTGTGCGCTCTGCAGGTTTTCCATCTTCGGAGAGGTCTACTGAGTTCGTGCTATGAAGTCCACAATCATTGTATATGAGAAAATTACTTTATGAAAGAATAAACTCGAGTGATGCCAGGTGTTGGGATCAACAAATTACTCCATGAATTTTTAGGACTCCACTTGACAGACGTGAAAAGGACACTCCCCCTTGGCTCACACAGATTTGAAATGTGACTCACTTACAATCAGGCATCTGAGGAGGGGAAAATCTGATTTAATAGTTAATGGTAACTTCTTATAAAAGAGGTACTAGAAGGTGAAGCAAATTCAAGTTGTTTTATTCTCCCTTAGCATTTCATTTTGAACTCTGCTGTAACTTTCCCAATTTCTGCCTAGTGTCATTTGTATCTTCCTGCGTGGCTATCTTTCCTAGAAGACTGAAAACTTGTGGGATTGTTGTTGTTGTTGTTGTTGTTTTCAACTTAACTTCCCACAGTCCTTTGCTCGGAGTCTAATATTCAGCAATGGCTCAAATGTTTCTTAATTTAAAATCTGAGAGCCCAAGGGCACCTGGGTGCCTCAGTAAGTCAAGCATCCCACTCTTGGTTTCAGCTCAGGTCATGATCTCATGGTTTGTGGGCTCGAGCCCCACGTCAGGCTCTGTGCTGACAGTGCTGAGCTTGCTTGGGATTTTCTCTCTCTCCCTCTCTCTCTCTGCCCCTCCCCTGCTCATGATCTCTCTTTCTCTCTCAAAATAATCAGTAAATAAACATAAATAATCAAATGAAAGAGCCCAGAGGTCTGGTGGACCACGCTTGGACCTCTACCTACGCATGTATGATGTTTCTACAAAGGTAAGGAGTGAAGCCCCCACAGGCTCTTTCCTTGTCTACTCCCACAACTCTGAACCCTTTCAACCTTTAACTCATCAGGAAGAAATAAGGTGAACTCTACTCTGACCACACATCCTTAGCATTAGAACAAAGTCCTCTGGTCATGTGGGGAAGACCTTTTTCCAAACTTCCCCATTCCTTCTTTAATTTTATAAGAAAATCTAAAGGCTTTACTATGAGAAAAGGAAAAAGTCATTAGTATATCCACACTTTGTATTGATGTTTTCTTGCAAAAATACAATATTTACGAAACAGTTGCACTGAAATAAATCACCACTTCAAAACTGATTTTTTAAAACCTTTTTTTTTCCTTAAGTAAAGTGAACATGAATGCAATTACATGACACAAAGGTGTCAAATTTTCCCTCCAAGTTAGGGCATGCAATATTGATTAGTTGGAACAAACCAAAATTCTTTTCATTTTCGTTATAACTCAGTTAATAACTCATAGCTCAAAAAAGTGACTTTAAAAAAATCTCAAATAAGTAAAGACTTTGATCATAGTGCTGTTATTCTATAGGAACCTCTAAAACTATCACAAACATCATAAATATATAAACAGTCGCTTCTTAAGGCACAGTGGTATTAGCTAGATCAAAACCTAGTTGCCAAAATGTTACCTTCTTTCAGTAAACATCTAACAATGAACTGGATTTTCTTCTAACCACTACTCATGCATCAGATGTATTTCAGTTTATCTACACAAGCATTCCACATTTTGTGTTTTTGTTTTGATTCTAAGTTCATTGACTTGCCTGGCAACCATACCCTGGCTCGAACTCTTTGGGGGAAATTTCTGAAAGTGACCTACAACTTATCTCCCACAAGAGATCACTGGGTACTACTCATAGAGAAAAAAGTCCAGGTCCCTGACACAAGTGATTTAAACCTGGGATAGAGCGAGCAGGCACACCCTGGCAAATTGAAATAATTAATTTCTCTAATTGGCCTAATTCTGCCTTGTTAACTCTTCCTAAGAATAAAAGTGAATAAACTTTAGAAACAAATGGATTTTCATCTCCTAAGGACCATTATGTGAATCGGTTTGGGAATAACCTTCTTTACCCACCTTTGCTCACTTGACTCAACCCAGTGCATTGAAAATCCATCAAAATATAGTTAAGCATCCCACTCTTGATTTCAGCTCAGGTCATGATCTCGTGGTTCATGGGTTCGAGCCCCACGTCGGGCTCTGCACGGACACTCTCTCTCTCTCTCTCTCTCTCTCTCTGCCCCTCCCCTGCTTGTGCTTTTTCTCTCCTTCTCTCTCAAAATAAATAAACATTAAAAAATATATAGTTTAGCTTATCCTTTCATGACTACAGAAAACAAAAACAAATATAAAGTTTATGTTGTCCTTACTCCAGATACTGCTTTTATTTGTCTACTAAGACAGCAGCCACCAGAACTCTATGATGGGAGCCTTTCCATTTTTATTCACCCATCTAGTCTCTAGAAATAACCGCCATGAACCAAACCGCAGTCTCAAGTTGTTCAAATGAGTGCTCTGTAATTAACTACCAATAGTTTCCCTAGTCAGTATTTGGGTTCTTATTGGAATGTGATTGTTTCTCTTAGCAAAGGTAATCTTAAAAGAATATCTTCACTTTTTATAATAAACTGATTATATTTACAAATAACCATAAAGAGTAATCATGGTGAGTTCATCTCTAAGGAATAATCAGGGTGAGTCCACATCAGTGAGAGATAGGGCAAGAGCCTATAAAGAAATCACATAATTTAGGGTTCGATATTTAAGAAATAATATTCCAATATTTTTTGAGCTGTTGGACTTGGTCCATAGAATTTAAACCACATCGTCTGCCTGTCGTCACACAAAAATTCCTTTTTAAAAAATCTTTAAAATCAGATTAGTTTTTCAGGTCAGAGGAGTGATTGGAAGTAACATTTTCTATCCTGTAATATATTCCTTTTACCCTCTTCACTTTCCACTTTCCATGAAAAGAAACCAGTCTAAGATTGCATGGTATCTCTGTCCTCAGAAAGCCTTCACACAAAAGTTTCCTGCCGGTCTGGCATGACACTGGGCACTCTGAGGTTTTCCTGTCCCTGCAGGCCCTAGAATATATTCAGGCTTGCAGCCAAGAATCAGGAGGTTGGAGTGCAGGGCCATTTGCCAGAATCTAAAACAGAGGAGCAGTTCACTTTAACACTAACTACACTTCGCGACATCCGTTTATTAAAGCATCTGTTGTCTCAGAGCACAACACTATTGCGGGAAAAGAACACCCCCCTTGGGATGCCCTGAGGATAAACCTCATCTCCGCTCACAGAGCCCACAGAGGGTAGATCTCGTTTCCATCCTGACACGGTGAGATTTCCATGAAAGCAACGCAAAGCCCTTTGTAGTGAAGGTCGCACGTTCCAGAGAACAGAGCCCTAAGTCCCAAGCCAGCAGACTGAACGGGCTTCTCCCGTCAGTCACTGAGTAACTGCACAGGGCACCTGCCCTTCCTGTCGTACATTGTGTCCATACACAAAGAGGATTTAGGTTAGAAAAACGCTTTAGCCTCAAGAATGTAGATGCTTGAGGCAACGGGTGTTCGTTACTGTGGTTGAAAGGGGACGCAGAGAAGATCTGAAATAAGGAAATAACTTCCTCCTTCTACTCTCCTATTAATCTTGTTAACGTATCTTCAGGTTCGTAACAAAGTGAACGTATATTCCAGTGATGGACATGTTGCCTTACACATCATGAAGCGTGCTTTCTTTTTGTGCCTGTATCACGTGACACACCTTGTACATAGAACTGTTAGAACTCTAGACAGGTGTAAGCTTACCTCTTAGGTCTCTGGTGTTTGCCTAAGGCATAAAATAGAAGAATTAGAAACCTACAAAGTAAATATAAATACATCTCTTTATTCCAGTTCCAAAGTTCCCAAGAACTATGACAGGATTAGAACAATGCTCTCAAGAAAATTAATCAAAGTAATATAAATTTGAAGGCTCTATGTGAATGGTAGGTGAAAACAATAGTCCAAATACAAAGACTTGAGAAAGCACATCTCTCTCGAAGGTGCCAAAATGCTGCACGAACTACCTGTTTGTACCACAGTATAAACCACAGTCTGCTCAGAGGGCAGGTGTGGCAAACAAAACAGAACGGAAGAGCCTTCTTCAGCTTAAACTCACCGAGGTCTGGCCCCTGGTTTGGCAGCATACCTTGCTGCTGTCGAAATACATTGATATTCACTCAATGCAATGTCGAAATACATTGATATTCACTAATGCAAGTCACTGCAGGGGGACATATGGCAAGAAGGGATATTCTTTCCCCAGGAAAGTGAGTCCCTGTACTCTCCCCGTCTCTTTATTTCCCTTTCCTTTTCTTCCCTTGGACTCAAATTCGATCCCCTACTTATAACGTTTTTGGTGACCGCCATATCCTCAGAAAATAAGACCCGCACTTTCCGTTGGGTATAAGGAAAGAAAAGTGTACCGTACCTTGTGTAAACTGAGAGACACTGTGGTTGCCTCTGTCCAGGTTGAGGAGATACCCATGTTGAGGGGCCTCCGTCACAATAAACCTGAGAGAAAAACGCAAGCTGTCTCTGTCCTCCACTTTCAATATTTTGCTTGTGATCATGAATCCCAAGTGGCCAGTAGCCAGAGTGCGAAGTGTGGAGGCCCCTTTGTTCACTGCAATTTGGGGGACGCTATCATCAACAGGTAAGACTTGGATTTTCATCACTTGGGGTCTCCTTGTTTCAAATATTGTATCGGGGAAAACATAGAACTCTGTATGGGAACCATCAGTCACTGTGAAGGAGAAGCTGTCTTCATTTGACTCAGTGCCATCATGTCTGTAGCTGATTAAGTTTTCATTCAGGTCTTGCTTGGTAAAAACCATGGCAGGTCTGGTATTGTTGAATAGGAGTTGACCATGAACAGGCACCTGTGTGACAGTGAACTTCAGGAGTTTGTCTGGAGTATCTTGATCTTCGACAGTGAGTTCAAAGGGAGTGATCAGCTTGTTTTCACCCTCACTGACAACCAGGTTATGGATGGTGACCACTGGCTTTTTGTTGTCCACATCGCTAATGGAGATACGGAATGTCCGGAAGACAGGGTTATGTCCATCAGTGACTTGAAACTCAAAACTGTCCATCTTGACCTCATCGTCAGCTGTGTGGATGTAGTAGATTTTGTTGCCAGCCAGTTGGAGCTGAGAGAACGATGTGATGGATGCTCCAGGTTGATCTGTGCACTCTAAGTGACCTCTCATGGGAGCCCTGGTGATGGTAAAAACTAAGTTTTCATCAGGACTGTTCAAGTCACTGGTACTTAATAAGTCTGTTGTGAGGGTGACTTTACCACCTTCTTTCAGGGATACTCCCTTGCTTATCACATCCGGGAAGACAATGTCAACGCTCCCAACAGAAACATAAAAGTAGCGATCTATAAGTGCATTTATTCCATCGGTCACATCAAATTTAATTAGGTCCCGAATGCCCTCTTGTCCAAAATGGACATACTGAATTAAGTTTCTGTCCACTTCATCCTGGGTAAAATTCATGCCCACTGTGATATTTTCAAAGGCACCTGCAGGTTTTTGTCTCTGTAATAAGCCATGTCCCGGCCCATAACGAATAATATAAACCAAAGATTTGTCTTCAGAATCTAAATCAGTTGCCATCAATATTTTGTTGTTGATAATTTTGGTTTCCCCAATTTCTATTTCTAGACCATTATTGATGGTCATTCTGGGGGTCTCATCATCAACTGGGATAACCATAATGAGGACCATCCTTTCCACCGAGTGCTTACCGTCTGTTAGTTTAATCACAAAACTGTCCTCCTGGGTCTCAGAATCATCATGCTCGTAAATAATGCTTGAACTCTCTATGATCTGGTCCAAGGTGAAGCTTTCAACCAACACTGTGCCATTTATCAGCTGATTCATGATGTGACCACGAGTGGGAAATTGGGTAATGGTGAAAGTTAGATCATCCGGGGGAATGTCAGCATCAGCAGCATTGAGGATGGGTGTATCAATCACCAGACTCATGCCTTCCATCACCATAAATTCTCTCATAAATATTTCTGGCTGTTCGTCATTGGCGGGAATGATTATAATGGGAAAAAAATGTCTCTCTGAAAAGTTAATGCCATCAGAGCAACGAAATATAAAGCGGTCTTCCACAGGTTCTACCCCTTTGTGGACACTCTGGACATAATTAATATGACTCTGCCTGAGGTCTTTCAGGGTAAAGGCACTTATGGCAATTCCTGCTCTTGATTTCTCAGAGCCTGGTGCTGGAGAAATGTTTTCAACATAACCGGAGGTAGGCTGAATAACTATAGTGCACAAGATGTCATCATTGAGGGAATCAATATCTTCAGCACTTATATGTGTTGAGGTTATAACACTTTTGTCACCTTCCATGACTAGAAACCGTTCACCTACAGAAATTTCTGGAGCTTGGCTATCGACAGGGAGGATGGTCACCCACACAGTAACCCCTTGGATAGTACTGCCACCTATTACCCATTCTTGAGACATATCTGACAGACTCAGGTTAAAAGAGTCCCCTTTGGGCAACAGGCCTATCTCACCGCTTGTGTGGGCATAGACGACAGAGCCCTCTAAGATGTCCCTTTGGGTAAACTGCTCCGCCGGAACTCCGTTGACCAGGATTTCTCCATACAAGGGTGGGTCTTCCAAGAGGAAAGTCAACATCAAATCATCAGTGTCCCCATCAGTCCCCTTGATAACACTGGCAGTGAGTTCAGCAGCTCCATTTTCTAAAACGTCTAGATATGACCCCAGAGTACCAGCAGGAAGGCTCAGCATGGGCACCTCATCACCCGCGGGCCGGACATTCACTCTGAGAGTGATGGGCACCACGTGGTGTCTGTCGCTGACCTCCAAGGAGCAGCTGTCAGTCAGGGACCCGTCCCCATTATGGACATAGGAAATCCGACCCTGTTTTATATCTTCCAAGTGGAAGACCTCCCCCACATGCAGTATCTGTCCAGACACTCTCATGTGGCCATGTTCGGGTGCCCGTGTGAGAGTGAAAGAGATGTGGGCTACATCGGTGTCTACATCATTCACACATAACTCAGTCTCACTCAGGATGTGGTGGCCCTTCACCTGAACGGTGAAACCGGTGTTGAGGATCTCAGGCGGCTGGTTGTCCACGGGCTGCAAGTAAAGGGTGAAGGTGCCTGGAGCCACATTCCCAGCTTGGTCCTCCACCTGGAATTGAAACTGGGCCACTCGGGCAGCCACTCCCAGTTCTCGATCCGGAGGTCTGTAGGCAATTTTATGGTGGTTGATCTGGGCTTGGGTAAAATGGGCCACCACGACTGAGGGGTTGTCGGTCAGGACCAAGGTGCCCAGGGGGGCTGGTGAGTGGTTTTCATCTGTGTCCGTGGGGGGCTGGGTCACGGTGTAGCGCAGCTCTCGGTCATCTGTGTCCAGGTCAGTGTAGCGCAGCCACTTTTTCCTCAGCGGCGTGAGCTGGGATTCTTGCACCACCATCCGAAGGGGACAGCCGCTGCCCAGCTCCGGAGGGAGGCGATCCACAGGATGGATGCGAATCACAAACCTGTGTGGTCCAGACTGATTAGGGGGGTCATGGTTATCCTGGACCCGGAATGTGAACTGGTCCATCACTGGCCCAGGACTATGGGGCCCGGAGTGCCTGTAGAACAGCCTCCCCTCTGTTATGTCCCGCTGCCTCCACTCCGTCACCGTTTGCTCATAGAAGGCTCCCTGTTTCCTCCAAGGGCCCCTGCTCAGCTCCTCTTCCTCGCGGGGAGGATGGGTTTGGCGGAGAAGCAGATGCCCTATGGTCGAGGAAGGCGACTCCAGCACAAAAAGCAGCAGAGGGTCATCTGAGTCGATGTCCGTTGCACTCAGGGCCAGGGGAAGGATGGGCGCCGTTTCACCCTCCGCCAGCGTCAGCCCCGTGTTAGCATTGAGGACTGGCGGCTGGTCATCCACAGGCACCAAGGTGATGGGGAACAAGAACTGCACCTGGTGCCTGCGTCCTCCGTCCACCATTCGAAGTACAAGGTTGTCACTCAGTGAGCCATCTCTGTCATCGTGATGGTAGACCACCTGGCCGGCGGCCAGCTCGGCCACCGTGAAGGTCTTAGGGGCAGAGTTGCCATCGGTGGCGCCCAGAAGGACAAGGTGACCGTGGCGGAGCCCAGCCACCACCTCTAGCTGCACTGCCTCTAGGTCATCCTCATCGCTGACGACCAAGTTCTGCGGTCCACTGCCTGCAGGGCCCGTCAGGGGCCGAGACTGGCCCTCATAGAGAATGAGACCAGTGTTCCGGGTGACCACGGGAGCCAGTGTGTTCATGGGCTTCACCACTACCATGAAGGCAAAAGGGTCTGAGGCTGCTCCTTCCGGGTCCACTGCTTCCAACTCCAGTTCAAAGAGACGCTCCTGGTCAGAGTCCTCAGAGGGGGGCTGGTAGGCAATCTTCAGGAGCCGCAGATCCCTCTGAGTAAAGGAGGAGAGGGGCAGGCTGCGGTCATCAGTACTCACTAGGTAGCCCTGGCCAGGCTGGAAGGGAGAGGTGAGGTTGAAGATCAACAGGTCAGGGGGCGACTCGGCATCCTCGGCTGCCAGCATGTCTGGGGTCAGAGCCGTCAGTACAAACTGGTCCACCTCCATCATCATCATGGCCACGAAACTGGGCCTGGGTGCGGTGTTCTCCGCCCCTCCTCGGATTCTCACCAGCACCTGGAAGTGCTCACGTTTCAAAGGGGGTCTGCCCACAGGGGAACCCCGAGAGCGCAGCTCCACCACCATGGGCACCCAGTCCCTGTTCGGTGACCGACTGGGGGCTGTGTGACGGTAGCGCACCCCCAGCTCCTGGAAAGCTTTGCAGTCCATCAGGAGAGGCTCCGGGGCGCCCCCCTCGCTGGCTGGACCCGGGACCTGTGGGTAGTGGAGGAGCTCCCCATAGCGAGGCAGCGCGCTCAAGCCGGACAGGATGCCCACGCGACACTCCTCGGTCTCCGGCTGGTAGGCGAACTCCAGGCTCCGCGCGTCCAGGGCGTTGCTGGTCCCCAGCAGCTCCTCCACGACTAGGGGCAGGTTCCGAGTCACCACCTCCAGCTGGGTGAAGACCACCTCCACCTCCAGCACCAAGGGTAGCACTGCGGCCCCTCCCGGCGCGTCGTAGCGCAACTGCAGCCGAATGCGATCCCGCGACGGGCTGCGCGCGCCCAGGTGCGAGTAGCGCACCTCTCCCGGGCCGAAGTCGCACGGGAAGCGCTTGGGACTCAAGCGTCCGGGCCGCTGGGCCAGCGCGTCGTTGTCTAGCACGGTCACCGCGCAGCGGTCCCCCGGCTGCACCTGCAGCACCAGGTCCTGCAGCGGATCCAGCCAGACCTCACGGCCGAAGGGCACCCGGAGCCCACGGTTTGCCAGCACGATGGCCTCCTCGGCGGGGACCCCTGCAGCCCCCGCGAGATCCGGGGACAGCAACGCCGGGCCAGGGGCAGCGGGCTGTGCCAGGACGCAGCTTACCAGTGACAGGAGAAGCAGCAGCAGCAGCAACACCAGGCGGGGCGGCAGCGTTGGGATCTGCTGAAAACTGGTGGGGCTGGCCACCCCGCCGGCGTGGGAGGCGATCCCGGGGGTCCTGGCCGCGTGCATGGTGCAGATATTAGGGCTCGGACAGGTCAGCCTGAGAGAGCACAGTCCGTGTCCGGGCAGGGAGCAAGAGACCTCTCCGCAAAGTGCCAGGAACTCCGCACTTGGTAGCCGCGTCTGGGCCGGGATGGAAAGTTGCGCGGCGCGGGCCGGGCTGGCGCAGCAGAGGCGGCTGAACCTTCCCGAACGTCCGGCTCCGCCGCCCGCGGCTCATTCGCTGGGAGAACCGGGTCCCCCCGCCCCCCGACTCCTGCTTCCCAGGTCCCGGGACCCAGAGCTTTGAGGGAAATCCCTCCCCCAGCACCCCCTGACTCCAGTCCTCCCAGGAGGCCAATCGTCGGTCCCGGGAGGAGGCCCCGAGTTGAGGGTTGGGTAGTGGTATCTGCCAGTCAGCTCCTAGGGGCGGAGGCGGGGAAACCGCGCGGTGGGGAGGAGGTGCAGGGCGCTACAAAGTTGTCTTGGAAGCGAGGGGCTAGCGGCCTGACGCTGCGCAGCTTTGCTCGCGCTCCGCTCGGGCTAGGGGTTCCCGCAGAGGAGCCGAGGCACGCGTCTGGGCTCGAATCAGTCCTTCAGCTGCCTAGGACCCAGGATTACCCACTGTCGCCCGCACTCCCTCCAATTCGATGCAGCCTCGCGCGGAGGAGTGTGCGGTTATTGCTCACAGACGTTTGCAAACCCGAGAGGAAAGTTATTTGCAACGTTGCGTGTGTTTGAATCGAAACGCAAGAGCAGTTGGATGGAAACTCTGGGGCATTTTTGCAAGAGAAGGATAGCTGGAATTAAAAGCCAAGGCTAGAGCAGGTTGCTCACCGCCCCCGCCCCCAACACACACACACACACACACACACACACACACACACACGCCCCACCCCCGCCTGCCGCTGTCTCCTCGTAAATTACAAGGGGGCACAGTCCTTGGATTGGCGAGTTTTAAACAAGTCCCTCCTTTGCAACCAAAGTTCTGAGTAAAAGGGGAATGAAGGGTGGGGAGGGGGGACGTTTGGAATGCGTGAGAAATGCAGTCCGATCGGAATCGCGAGACTAGCACCAAAAAACAGATTCTAGGGAATGTAGCCCCCAGGCTCTCCCAAAGCCGCCGCTGTTCAGGAAGTTGTCGTTAGAAACGTTCCTGTTCTCTTCGCAGTAATTAGACCAAGTGCAAACTAAACCTACTTGTCAGCGTCACATTTCTTTGCATGCCAAGAGAAATGATAAATATCCGGAGGGCTTAACGAAAAGAGGTTCGCTCCCATTTCGGTCGGCTGGTTGTTAAGTCAGATCTTGAGCTCTTCCTGCCCCCTTGCGTTTGTCCGGTTTCAGGAGCGTGTGGATTCCCCTTCCAAAGAGTTTCTAACAGCACCCCTCCTCTCCAGCGTCTTGGGGCGGGGGCCGGGGGAAGAAGATGGAAAAAACTCTTGTAGTTAATAAACCAACCATTTCCCGATTCGTTTCTTGAGCAGTCTTGCTGACTTATCCTGATCAATATGTTTTATTTTAGACAATATTCTTTCCTGCTCAGTAACACAAGTCGGGTTCTTAGTTGGAATATAGAATTGGAACTATGGTCATCCTGCCCTTTCCAGTTTAAAGGTAGTTTCGATTTGGGGGGAGAAAAGAGTGCAAGAAACTGTCATGACATTTTAAACTTCAGCCTAGATTGAAGATATAAAATGGATATGTGGGTACATTTCAGTAGGAAGTATTTGTCTTATTAACTCTTCTGGGTCTTTAGCCTGAGTTTCTCCAGTCCCGAATTTTGATCCCTGCCTGGCACCCTCATAGCTATTTTCCAGGGCACAGCACTGAGCCTCTCTACAGAGTATAGCTGGGAAGTGTCAGATTCTGTTCCAGAAAGGCCACTGGGCAGTGTCTGTCCCTGGGAGTCAGAGATGGAAAGTTCTGAAATTTTTCAAAAAGAAGCAAGGGAGAGAGAGAGAGAGAGAGAGAGAGAGAGAGAGAGAGAGACAGAGAGATTAATTTAAAGGAGCCACTCATACAAGCAAACAAAAAACATTTAGTTAATTAAACATTAATTGAACTTATTCCTTTTTCTTAATGCTTTGCACTTTGGGGCAGCTTTTAGCTCCCACTTATAACTGATGAATACTTTTCACAATTTAGTATAAAATGAGCATCCACAAACATAGAAGGGATAGGGCCGAAATTTTAAACCTATGAGAAAACCCCCATCCAAATTCATCAGTTTCCAATTTGCTTTGGCATTATTTCATAACTTCTTATAAAATTATTCGTCATTGCAAACAGAGTTCAAACTGCAGTGACAGAGGGATGTTTTATTATGTCCTGTTCACAAATAAAACACAGGGAAAGATGCCAAATGAAATAGAACATCAGTGTCAGAATATGGTTCTTTATAGACTATATTCCAAAGTTTGGTTCCATACTTTGAAAAATTTCAGCTGGAGGAAGAGATTATTCAGGCATTGTGACTCTGGGTGTGTTCTCACCAGAATCGGATCAACACCCTGACCCTTGATGCTTCCCAGTGGCTCCAGGGTTTTCCTTTCTTCCTTTTAAAGTCCAACTCTGTTTGACTTGCAAGCAATGATAAGATCAGCATTTGAAGTATGGTAGTATGCCTGAAGGGCAGAGTTCAATATGTTGTTTCATGGTAAAAAGAATAGAGGTCCACATTTATTTTTAAGTAGCCTAAGGAAATCAATAAGCTATAATCTTTTTTTGACTTTTTAATTTAGCCTGCCTTGATTGAAGTGATGGAATGATTCTTAGGAATTACTTGTTTTGGAGGAGGGGTAAATGCCTTATTTGTTGTTGATTTTTAAAAATCACATAGAAGGTACTGTTAGTTGCTTAAGTGTATTTTTCAGTGATGATTATTGAAAAATAATGAAATATTAAATTCTCATCTGAAAGCAAGTATTGTTGATGGTGATCCCTCTTTAGGATAAATATCTCAGTTTTTAAAGGATTGCTACACTTAAATTAGCAAGGAAATATTATTCTATGACCAACAGTCTTAATATCATAAGGGGTGAAATAAGTTGGCAAACTTGTAATTCTTTAAATCTGAGTTTAATTATTCAGTTCTCACTTTCGTAAACCTTGTAATTCTCACTGTGCATTCTCTGGGCAAAATATCCCTTAAAATAAATTCTTAAATTTGCTTAGCATATTAAAAATACACTAAAATGCCTCCTCGAATCAACTTAAAGCTAAAATTATTCATTGTTAAAACTCAAATGATCTCTGACCTAGGGTTAAGCACCAGAGAACTTATTTCCTAAAATGAAGAAGGTTGTGTGATGAATTCAAGATGCAAAAAAGATATTCACGTGTGAACTGAAGGCGAGTCTGGGGCTCTGGTTAAATTTACATCTGGTCAAATTTTGAATGTTACATTGCCATTCCAGAGTTTATTTCACTTTTTTTTTTTTTTAAATGTTCCTCTACTGGCCTTTAAGACTCCAAAAGAAGAAGATTGCTTCAAGGACACCTGTAGAGTACTTACAGATGAATGTTTGGGGCTTTATGCTAAGCATGTTTAATAGTTCTCAATAGAATTTTATTCTTTGATAGCTTCAAAGCCATTGCTTGCCTGCAAACACCAAACTTGACTGCTTGCAGAGCTCCGCTGAAGGGGTAAAGAGCCCTGGGCTGATTGACGGAGACCTGGGTTCCAGGCTTGGCTCTGACATCCACCATGTGACTCGCAACAATTCTCTTTCTTTTGCAACTACGGTCTCCATAACTGTAAACCAAAGGGCTCATTTTTTTTTTTTGGACAAATTCCCTTGTGGCTCCCCTTTAGTTTTGGTGTTTGGTGCCATAAGACCATATTCATGGATGACCTGCCATTTTGCTTCCTCGTGTCACTTTTTAGTTGACCACACTCCTTCTCCCTGCAATACTCTCCTTAACTGACTGTGGGAATCAGCCGGGAATTGAAGATCTGTAATAACCTTGCAGACCACTTGCTGTGACTTCCTCATTTCATGAGGGGAGGAAACAGAATCCAGGAGGTGAAGACCCAGGAGTGGAGCTGGAAAGGAAGAGAGATTATCAACTGACTGCCAAGTCAGTGTCCATATCCTACCTTAAGCTCCAATTCAGCCCTTAAGGATGATGTCAAGTATTTACTCCCCCATGGAAATTTTGTTCATCTATGCAATTTAGTACAAGCCATGCCTCTTTTGACTCTCTATACCACCTCCTTCCCTCTGCGCCATATGCCTTTGCTTGTATTTCTATTATGAGATCACTCTTACTGTACGTTGTGTTATAGTCATCTGTGTTCTTGTTGTGCCCTTCACTATTTAGAAAGCATCTTGAACTCACAGCCTGCATTTGCTCATCCTTTACCTCCAGAAAGATTTTAATAAATACTCGTTATATGAAATTAGGTCATAATTTATCATTTCTCAAGCCAAGTAACTTGAAAAAACTCAGCCAGATTTTACAACAGCTTTACAAGGTAGCCAGGTATATTATTCAGTTTTCTTGGGAGCAAGCAACAGAAACTGACTGGCTGAATTAAGCAAAAATGAAACGAAAAGGTAATGAATTGCTCCCATAATTTCTGGAAAGGCAGCAACATAAGGCTCAGAGAAGTGAACATGAACCAAAACCCAAAGCTTCTGCTTGGTAATGGTCTGGTGGGGACAGCACTAAGCGACTGCTGAACACTGGAGCCTGCAGGTGACACTCACACTGTGGCCAACACTATGTTTGAGTCAACAGCTCTGAAATCCTCCGCTGTTCTTGGACTCAGATGTCACTGCAGCCAATGACCGATGATTTTTCTCTCTCTGTCACTGTAAAATCAAAGGTCCAGGCAGGATTGGATTATTCAAGCTTAAGTCATAGGCCCACCCCCTGGCTGCCAGAGGCATGGGGGAGTGTATGTGGGGCCTTTTTGGCCTTCTGGGTTTGAGTGGCCCCCCTTACTACCAACATTCATACTGTGGGTATTTCTCACCTAGAAGAAAGAAGACCACATTTGAAGGAGGCAAATACAGCCTGCTCATCACAACAGGTTAAATAGCAATATTACCATTTTATGTTTGAGAACACAGAGACATAGCAGGGTTCAGCGATTTTTTTTTCGGGTTCGTACAGTTATTGACAAAACCAGGATTAAATAAATCAGATGAAATAAATTAAAAGAATAAGTAGTCTCTTCTAGTCTGCTTTTTCTTTTACATTCTGAAATATACCATTTTTACTTAAAAAATTTTTTTAATGTTTAATTTATTTTGAAAGAGAGAGAGAGCGCATGTGAGC